AGGTTGCAGTGAGCAGAGATTGCACCACTGCACTCCAGCCTGGCCAACAAAGCAAGACTCTGTCTCAAAAAAAAAAAAAAAAAAAAATTAAAATAATAACATTAGAACCCACTGTAGCGAAAAGGCATCACTCAAAGGCTGTTACGATACTGGGCAGACCCCTGGGCCAGGCCTGGCACCGCCACCCTCTGGGAGCCCGCCCAAAAGGCCATTCCTGCCAACACCCGCTGTAGACGAGGCAGGCGACTTCACCGTTAGTTCTGCGCAGGTTTCCTCACTCACCTTTTCCACGCAGTTTCCAAAGATAATGATTTCCCACCACTTTGCTGTGACTTGTCAGAGCATCAGCCATGGTTCCGAATCACTTTTTGGATACGTTCTGATGGGGAATTGCATGAATATTCTCTGATGTGTCACTCACCCCCAACATAAGACCTCACCTGTGTGTTTAAGCTTAAACCCAGGGCGAGGGGGGATGTGCTGCCGCATGCAAACCACACCTGCAGGTGGGCAGGCATCTGAGGCCGCGGGGGCCAAGTGGTGAGGACGGTGGCATGAATGTGGCATCACGGTGTCCTTGCTTTGTTGTTGTTATGAAAAGCAACTTGCTCATTGAGAAAGTCATTACGGAGCCATCAAGGCGCTCAGCTGGTCATGGAGTGTGGGCTGGTGATGGTAGACCCTGCTGCTGGTGCTAAGAACTTGCAAACCCTCCCAGCTGTTAGGTGCAGGTAGCGCTGACTGCATTCCGCAGAGATGCTCAGGGAAGTGCCAGGCCTCGCCCCAAAGTCACCTCCAAGCCGAGCTGGGCATCCAGTCCAGGTGGTGGGCTCCGAAGCCTGCCGCCATCTCCCGCTGTGCTGCCACCCGGTACCCCCCATAATGGACAGGCCACTGCCAGCCACACCTCAGCACCTTCCACCCTTCCCCTCTGGAAGACAACGACTGCAATAGGTGGTCTCAACTTCGGGCCCCTTGGTGGCCCTGGGTTTCTTCCTTACCTTCCAACACCCAGGTGTCCCTGCCTGCAGGTCGTCTCCCTGTGAGCCTCTCAGCCAAATGCCACCACCCCACATGCCCTCTGGCACTCCCTGTGGGGCAGACACCCTCTCTACCTCTCTCCAGCCACCCACCATCATCGGGAGCTCTACTCTCCACACGAGTGACAAGCCTCAAACCTAATGGCCTTGGCTCTCATTTAAAGTTCTGGCAGTGCTGCCACTGAATATAGAGCAAGGTCACCTACCAGGGCAGCCAGCCCGGGGCTCTCACCTTCTATGATGCAGGCCTTGCAGCTGCTGCACACAACACAATGGTGTCTTCCGGCAGAGGTGACCTCAGGTGTGAGGACTCCTCCATGGGAAAACCTATTGCAGTTTGCCAGGTTAACAGTCACAGGGCCGCCGTCACTTCCTGGTGGGGAGGAACCAGGAGAAGGGGGCTTGGGTTTAGGGGCTGTGCCTGGGACCACGTGGATAGAACTATTAGAGGTGGATAGAGGTATTAGGTAGAGCTCCTCTGTGGTTTGGGAAATTCATCCTTGGCTCTCGAAATTCTGGCAATAGGACTTGAAGCTGGTTGACCTTAGGTGAGTCACTCAATTTCTTGGTAGGCCAGTTTTGTCACTGCAGGAAAAGGAATGCTGCCTTTGTCGCCCATCCCAGGGCTGCAGAGGAGAGGGTGATTATAATGGGAAGCGGTTGGCCGTTAACACAAGCAGCAGAGGCCTGTTGGGGGCAGGGTCTGCAGTTCCAGGGTCTCTGTCCCATGCTGCTCTGCAAACAGCGTGAGCAAGAAATGATCTCTCATTAGGTGTCCTGCCCAAGCAAAGCAGAGCCGAGTAAAACTCAAGACAAAACACAGAGGACGGAGTCTGTGACCCAGGCTCTGAGCGAGGCTTGCTAGCTCCGTGGTGTCGGGCCAGATGGCTTGGACACTGAGAGCTGCAGCCTGTCATCTGTAACATGAAGCAGAGCACGGCCTTCCCTGGGCTGGCTGTCAGTTAAAAAAGATGAGCATGCACACACAACACCCAGGGCCGGGCTTGGCACACAGCACGTGCTCCTTACATTTTGTTTTCTTCCCTTTTCTGTTTTATGGGCAGAGTTGGCTACAGTTTTGTTAAGGTTGGAGGTGGGTAATAGAGTATGATGATTACTCAACCAGAAATTGTTTGAAAGATACCCCCAGATAATCACACAAATGTAGTTCCAGTGGCCGCAGCATCCGGTGTGTGCTCTGACCCAGGGAGCTGCCTGTTGGCTGCTTCTCCCTTCTGTGTTCAACAGGAAGAGAACTTGGTACAGGGGACTATTGTCAAACTCAACTGAGAGGTGAAAGTTATTAGTTCCTTTTGGATTACCAAGCAGTGAACTTAAGCTGGCCTTTTTAGCAAAACTTAGGAAATATTCTGACCTTTTGTTTGAAGAGAGCACTAGTTTGCTTCAATCTGCCTCTGAGGTGGGGAAGTAAGAGGAGCTTTTTGCTGGGTGGAAAATTAGAAGCTCTCGCTGCACGGGTAGGTTACTCACAAGGGAAGAAAGAGACATGGTTAGTAAGCTTCTGAAAAAATGTTCAACCTGAGGGGGAATTCAGACCTGCACATTAAAACATCAGTGAGGTGGCATTTTGCCTATTACTGCAGAGATTAAAAACTGATCATCGCCAGTATTGGCCGTGGTGCAGAGAGGGAGACAGGCCTGTCCGTGCTGCTCAGGGATGAGCTTCTGGAAGATTCCTCTGAGCCTGAAGCACCTCACACCCTCCAATCAGTGGCTCCACTTCTGGAAACAGATCCTGAGAGTCAGTCATAAGTGCAGGCAGAAACACTCAGCACAAAGATGTTTGTCAGGCCTTTTTCTACAGCAGTCTTTTTTTTAAAACGTGAAAAAGAGCAGGGAGTCCAAAAGTAGGAGAACCGTTCTGTAGGCTACGATACACCCTAAGATAGAATATTTCGCAGACTAATTTTTAATGATGGGAAAATGTTCATGGCATATTAAAGGAATAAAACAAGACGTCAAACTATGTGTGTGGGTGTATTTCTTTGTGTATATGATACATCATGATTTATAAATATATATGTAGTGATTTTAAACTATGTTAAATACAAATACTTAGGGAAAAGACTGTAAAGATATTAACATTAGAGTATAATATTTGAATGCTTTTATTTTCTTTTTTATGCTTTTTCTGTCTTCCAGCTATTTAAGCTATCTACTTAGATAACCAGAAAATAATAGTAAAAGTGATTTTTTAAAAGACCATGTTTTGCAACAAAAGCACCGTTCTCTGCTTACGGGGAGCATCTCTAGCTCTTCTGGGGCTCAGCCCCACACATGATGCCTCAGGCCGAATGCTAGAGATTTATTGACACTGCAGTAGTTCTTTCCCAAGCTGTCCTGGAGACCGAGACTTCTTCTTTGGGTTTAATCTTGTCTTTATATCCCCTTAACAGCAGGTCCTCTTATTTCTTGCTTGTTCAAGGGACTAGCCACAGAGGCCAATTAGAGCATGGTTTTGCTGAATATTTTGGCCGTAGCACAGTCTGTGCAATAATAAAAAAGGCCTACTTTTTTTTTTTTTTTTAGACGGGGTCTCGCTCTGCAATTTAGGCTGGAGTGCAGTGGCACCATCTCGGCTCACTGCAACTTCCGCCTCCTTGGTTCAGGTGATTCTCCTGACTCAGCCTCCTGAGTAGCTGGGACTACAGGTGTGCGTCACCACGCCTGGCTTTTTTTTGTATTTTTAATAGAGATAGGGTTTCAGCATGTTGGCCAGGCTGGTCTCAAACTCCTGACCTCAAGTGATTCTGCCTGCCTCGGCCTCCCAAAGTGCTGGGATTACAGGCATGAGCCTCTGTGCCTGGGCCAAAACGCCTACTCTTATCCATTGACTGATGAACCCTCAGTCATTGTATTAGTTTGTTTTCACACTGCTGATGAAGACGTACCAGAGACTGGGCAATTTAGAAAAGAAAGAGGTTTAATTGGATTTACAGTTCCACATTGCTGGGGAAGCCTCACAATCATGGTGGAAGGCAAGGAGGAGCAAGTCACGTTGTACATGGATGGCAGCGGGAAACTCCCCCTTATAAAACCATCAGATCTTGTGAGATTTATTCACTACCATGAGAACAGTATGGGGGAAACTGGCCCCATGGTTCAATTATCTCCCACCAGGTCCCTCCCACAACACGTGGGAATTATGGGAGTACAATTCAAGATGAGATTTGGGTGGGGACACAGCCAAGCTATATCATTCTGCCCCTGGCCCTCCCAAATCTCATATCTTCACATTTCAAAACAAATCATGCCTTCCCAACAGTCCCCCAAAGTCTTAACTAATTTCAGCATTAACTCAAAAGTCCACAGTCTAAAGTCTCATCTGAGACAAGGCAAGTCCCTTCCGCCTGTGAACCTGTAAAATCAAAAGCAAGCTAATTATTTCCTAGATACAATGAGGGTACAGACATTGGGTAAATACAGCCATTGCAAATGAGAGCTGAAGGGGGCTGTGGGAGGGGCACGCCCACCTGCCTGAGAAGGAAAGGGTTGGGGGAGGAGGCAGGCAGCACTCAGAGGATAAACAGGAAGTTCCCAGTGGGCCGATGGGTCCCCAGGGTTAAATAATTGTCAGCGTTCTCCATGACTGTCTGCACAGGACTGTAAGTCGCCATCCAGCTCACTGTCTATGGCACATTGGTTCTTCCCTGCCTTGCTGTGTTATGGAACTGAAATTTTTGTCTGGGGTAACACAGGTCTTCCCAGAGGTTTGAAGCAATGACTGTGTCTTCAGCTCCAAATTGTGTGTTGAACCAGCTCTGAAGTCAGGGCCACCTTGGGAGTCTATTATTTCATTTTCTTGGAATGAATCCATTATGAATTACTAACGATAATGATTCATTATAGTGTCTCACGCTGGCATGTGCTGATTCTCCAACAACCGACAGAAATTGCCCTGCTGATGAATTCTCTGCTGTGTTTTCCGCTTTCTCGTAGAATGGCTATTCAAGTGGACAAGTTCAACTTTGAGAGTTTCCCGGAGTCCCCTGGGGAGAAGGGGCAATTTGCAAACCCCAAGCAGCTGGAGGAAGAGCGGCGGGAAGCCCGAGGCCTGGAGATCCACAGTAAGCTGGGCATCTGCTGGAGAATCATATCCTTTTCCGGGGGCCACCTGGGCCTGGGGGCACCTTTGCTCAGGGTTCTGACCTCTAAGAAAGACCTGTGAGGGTCTTAGCTATTGAGTTTTCACCACAGATAGCTCAGAAATGCTGTGGCAAGGAGATGTGGGCCAAAGGCTTGGCATTTCCTTAACCTCTTAACGCTTCGAAGGCCGACTCAGAGCAGTATTGATTGGGGACGAGGAAAGGTCTTCTCGGAGCCGGTGGTGCTCTAGTCTTTGGATCACATGCTTCTTGCCAGTGTTGATATTCATGTTAGTGACAGGTTCTAATGGCCACCTATCAGTGCCGGGCTCGGGGGGTTCACAGACTGACAGCTGAAAACACGAGCGCAATTGTCTGAGAAACTGAAATCGGATTGTACAGCTTACCGAGGCATGAAGATGCCGTTTTGAAAAGGCGAAGAGAGTTTTCAGAAGGATTTTGTGCTATAAACACAGCGTTTCACAAAGTCACGGAGCCTGGTCTGGACTTCAGATCAATGCCTGACTCCTCGCAGACACTCCGCTGACTGACCCAGCGCTCTGGAGAAGCCCAGGTTCCTTCATGTGTTTGTTCAGCCATCTTTGGAGAGCACCTGCTTTGGAGTCAGGCGTTCTGCAAGGCGTTTAAAAGGCTGAGACGCAAAGACAAGGTCTCCCTGCAGTTGTTTGTCTAGTAGGAAGTGGCTGTGTCCTCTGGGAATTAAACACTGCTGGGGAGCAAGGACAGAGCCCCCCGCCGAGTGCTGTAGGTTCAGAAGCCACTGGGTGGGGGCATTCAAGGAAGGCTTCATAGAGAGGGTGAAGCTGTTGAGTGGCTGCTGGAAGTGGATAGAAGTTTGTTACAGGAATAAAGGTAGGAAATAGCCCCAAAATACTGAGGCATGAGAGCCCACCTCCAGGGAGGGGCAGCTCTGATGGGAATGTCTGTTCATGACCTCAGTCACGCACACATTCTGCAGACATGGGGATACACGCATTGCTCCATTGTGTGGTCTGGGATCCTTCCAGATGGCCTCCTGGATTCCGAAAGGGTCCTCACTCTGCACAGCATAGGTTCCAGAACCTGAGGTCAATTCCTTTGTTCAAGCTAAAGGGATTTTGGGCCTGGCAGACCCACTGTCTCCAAAGAGTTTGTGAGAAAATAAGGACTTTACATGTAGATGGAAAGTTTTGTGAACCAGACACGAAAAATAGAGTGCTTGGGGACTCACGGAGTGAACAGGAGCAGTCTGTTGTGGAGTTACAGGCGTTTGTCTCTGGTACAGAGAGAAGTAAAAAGGTGGGGATAATGGGAGTTGTCTTTCCCTTGCATTCCCCTCAGAGCTCAGCACAAAGTCAGGGTTCAGCCAGTTCTTAATAAGCAAAATGCCATAGCAAGGAAGCAAGTCAGACTAGTTCCCACCCATCACCCCATTTATCTCCTCCACATCTCCCTGACCAGCACTGTGGCTCCCACGGAGGAAATTGAGTCTCAGCCATGATGGGTAGGGCCAGGGACCAACCCAGGTAAGTTTGCCGGCAAAGTGCTCACCCCTCAAGTCTCAGACTTCAAACGAGAAGGCTCCGCAGACAACTCCCACACTGTCAGGCTGGGGAAAGGAGGGACCACTGGCACTTACCTCCTGGCGTCTATGCTGGGTCTGGAGTCTTTCTGATGGGCCCATGTTTCTGGTAATCTTTCTGTCTTTCTGTTGGGTCTTTCTGATAGGCTGAGGGTTGGAGAGGCTCTATGTGAGGCAGGAAGCATCTCTCACTCGGCGTCTGAGATTCAGCTTCGGCCGGGAGCCCCGTGCAGAGCAAAATGGTCCTGGATGGGTCTGATGCAGCCCCAGCTCAGCGCCAGCAGCACCAGTGGAGGAAGGGGCAGGTGCATCGTGTGCCTGGCAGGAGATTATTCATTCTCCTGAATGATCTCTCTCTGCGCTCAGATAAAAGCCAGAGCCCTAGGATGGTTGGGATTTTGACCTCTGTGTCCCCACACTTCACAGAGTTTGAGCCCTCCCCTCCCCTCCCAGGGTCTCATTGTGCTGGGCACACAGGGGCATCCTGCTAGTGTCAGAGCTACTGCCTCCCAGACACCACCCTGGGCTGATGCTGCCCTGGGCCGTGTCGCCGTTGTCAGCAACCTGACTCCTGGGGTGGTTTCATCATCCCGTCCTCCTGTCCTGCAGATGAAAACTGCGACTCCACTTTACAAAGAGAAAGTGGCGTGGCCAGCTCCTGCACCCCATAGCTTGTCCGCAGCCTGCAGTCCCCGCCCAGCACATGTTGCCTTCAAATGGGATGATAGTGGCCCACAGACCTCTAGTGTTCTTTGAAAATCAGTATCAAAAAAGTACAAAATGTCTTTGCGTTTGACTTCTCTATTTTCTGTATATTTGCTTAATAATTCATGTGACACATATTTATTGATTGCCTATCATGTGCTGGGCACACCTGCCCCATGCATTTTCTGATGGGAAGTTTCTGAGAGCTTGATTGTCCCTGTAGGCACATTTAATGAAAGAGAGTTAACATTAAGGACATTCTCCCTCTCTCTCTCTCCCTCTTCCTCCCTCCCTCCCTCCCTCTCTTTCTCTCCCTCTCCTCTCCCTCCCCCCCACTCTCATCTGTTAATGACATCTGGCGTCAGAGGAATAGCAGAATTTTGCTATTGTAAACCTGAATTCAAGCAGATGGAAAGACCAAAGATTGAATTGGCTAATAATTTCATTATACATTTTAATAATATTTTCTAAACATTTCAACTTTGTGTGAACGTCGAGGCTTAATTTGACACCCATCCATTGTTGTAGCAATTGCCCACCTGTAGCGCATGGGTCTGAGTAGATGCGTTTTAAAGGAAATTGGGGATCTTGCACTGGGTAGATGCACACCTGTCTACGCAGCATCTACAATGACACGATGGGCAGCCCAGGGCTGCCGGGAGCTCTCGCCCCACTCTTCACCTGTTAATGACAGATATGATACAGATTTGCTTGTTCGTAGGAGGTGAGCCCTGGAGATGTCCCCATCGAAGGGGAGGGGAAGATACAGAGGTGGGTACTTGCAGTGCAGTGTTATGGGGCTGATGGGAGCTTCCCTCAGGTCGCGGCCGGCAGGAGTGGGTGGAGATCTCAACCCATTCCCGGAGAGGGCCCAGGCCCAGGGCGCAGCATGTGGCATGCTGTCCTCGGTATGGGACCCAGAAGGCAGACTATGAGCGTGGCCAGATTGATGTCTTAGAAAGCCACGCTGGCCACAGTGTGACAAGTGGGTTTGCAAAGACACAAGCGCCCCTGGGGATGCTGGTGGGTTGAGGAGCCACTGCATGAGCAGCTCTAAGTCAGGAACCAGGAGGGCCTGAGCGAATGGAGCACGCAGGAAAAAAGCGTTGAGGGACCACGAGGGCTTGAACAAAGGGAGCGGCATGGGAAGAAAGTGCAAAGGCGACCACTCATCACCGAGACTCTGCAGGGTTCAGACAGGGGTGGCCTCTGAGCGCCTGTCCCTTCCCCTCTCCTTCCCAATCCTCTCTTCCCCATCCTCTCTTCCCCCATCTCTCCCTCCTGCCCCTCCCCCATGTCCTTCCCTACTTAATTTCTGTCGAAACAGAGGGTTAAACTTAGTAGTCTCCTTGTTCTTGTCCCTCCCTTCAGCCCCCGTGTGTGAGTGGGCACCCCCAGGCACTCCTCCTAGAGTGCTGGAGGGCTGTGGGTGGCCTCTGAGTAGCCCCCAGGCCTGCTGACCAGCTCCTCCCACTCTGAGACCGGGCAGGTTTATCATAAGGAGCCCAGGGCCAGAGAAATTACCATGAAGACACCTAGGATTGTGTCCCAAGGCACTGGCCGGGCACGAGGTCCTGTCCCTGCTATGGACAGGGCAACCTGTTATGGGGGAGGTGGCCCAGGGTGGTCAGCCGTCCTGCTTCCGGTGGGGGTTCACATTCTGGTGCTGGGCCGGACCGGATGAGCTAATGGGTTAGGTACCCTTTTTTCTTTTCTTCTTTTTCCTTTTTTCTTTTTTTTTTTTGAGGCAGAGTCTCACTTTGTCACCAGGCTGGAATACAGTGGCACAATCTCGGCTCACTGTGATCTCTGCCTCCTCGGTTCAGGAGTTCCCCCTGCCTCAACCTCCCGAGTAGCTGGGACTACAGTTGCGCACCAACACGCCTGACTAATTTTTTTGTATTTTAGTAGAGACGGGGTTTCACCGTGTTAGCCAGGATGGTCTCAATCTCCTGACCTCGTGATCTGCCCGCCTCGGCCTCCCAAAGTGCTGGGATTACAGGCGTGAGCCACCGCGCCCAGCCGGATACCCTTTTTTTCTTTAGGAAATCTCTTTTCTTAAACCCTATTTATCATTCTTCTTGTTGTTATGACTATGAAAACCACTTCTTGTGTGGCTGCTCTGTGTTAGCTACTGTATAGCAAGCTGTCCTCACTACCTGCCACCAAGCCTGGGGCTGCGTATCCCATGAGAGGCCGGGAAACCTGATCAGACACAGGCAGGTCCCCACCTTTCTCCCACCAGTCCCTGCCCCGGGTGACCTTGGTCATGGCCACCTTCTCTCTCTGCTTCTCTGTTCTCATCACAAAGTGGGGACCGCAAGGGCTTCTGCTTCCCCAGAGCTGCACAGGGCGAGTCCCTGCTCCTGTGGCACACTCAGGGGAAGCACCCTCCCTGTGTCCCTCCCTGTCAGGCATACGCCAAGTTGGAGGGCCTCTGCTGTCTTCGTGCATTTATCCTTATTCTATCCCAGGATCAAAGTTTCCACAAAGGACTCCTCATGCTCACATATCTCTTAAGCCCTTTCTTTCACATTTCCTAGGCTTTCTTGCCCACGTCAGCCTGCTGGTTTTAAAGAGACTCCTTCCCCCCAGCCCCTCGACCCAGACCTCTCCTGCTTGATAAGAGCGTGCTTGTTTGTAATATCTGTGTGGTTTCCCTGGAGGACGGGGACATCTCTTCCTGGTACAGGCAGCATCTGGCCCAGAGAGCCGGACTTA